TCTCTCGCTCTCTCTCTCTGTAAGTATTTTAACATTTAATTTAGCCAAAATAAAAGAGTCAATTCAAAAGATTTCCATATGTCCATTTAATTGTAATTATGTGTTTTGAATACTGTGTTACTTAGGCCTCTGTGAAGTGCCATACAAACTCACAACTTGGTTATTAATTTTGTGTTTTTGCATGCAAAGAATAAAAGAATAATGTGAATAGTGAAAAACCGCCTCTTTTGACTGTAGTTTCTTCCACTGAGAGGGCGCCACGGGAACGTCCTACTTCTTTTCTGCCCTCTGTTGTTCTTTCTTTGTTGTTGTTGTTGTTCTTGTTTGTTGTTGTTGTTGTTGTTGTTGTTTGTTGTTGTTGTTGTTGTTGTTTGTTGTTGTTGTTGGTGGTGTGGTTTTTTTGGGGGGGCGGCGGTGTTTATTCATTCCTTACACTAAAATAAAATAACCGTTACTGTGTGGACATACAATGTACTTCTCTTTATTTAAAAAAAAACAACAACCCAAACAAACAAAGACAGCGTCTGCAGTGTAGTGTTTAGGCGCTTCACTGTCCAAAAATGTGCGAAATTGTGTTGAAAGTAGCACATAATATATGATTGAGTTATTACCCATTTATTTTGGTCTTTTTTTTTTACATCACGTACAACAGCAGTTAACAGTAGCCCGAGACAGCACAGTATGTAGCTTATGTCCTTATCACATCACAATGAGAGCTCTTCACTATCAGGACCTCTCTTATTATCTAATGACTAATCTACGTAACTATCCCGATTCCCTTTGGATAGTTGGAGGGCCCGCACTAACATCATGTGACGACATTATTTATAAACATAGCAGCAGTATCACATACCAAAACGCACCAACCCTTCCTCTAAAGTCGAATATTCTGCGGTCCCATTTCTCAGGGGTTTTTTAACAACCATCCAGCACAAAAATAATGCTACCCAAATTCACAAGAGCTATTTTTAGACACTGTCGTCAGAAGTCAGTTTTGTTCCTCAATGTGCTCTATATAAGTCTTGGTTATTGTGGGCGTTGATGCAGTGGCGCCATTCCTTTCTTCATAGAAGCAACCGTCGCACTTCAGAGAATCCACAAAGGATACTAGGCAAAACATAAGTTATTTAAAAATCAAACTACTTACTCCTTTTAAAGTGAATTTAAGCTGCATTAGTCTGCTTTCCAAGTGAGGAAAAAAGCAACAACAACAAAGTCGCCTGTTTAACGAAATCATTCTAAGTGAGTGCCGCAAGTTCAGATTGTCTTGAGTGAATATTGTATCGTCAGCTCTAGTGTAGTTTTTTGGAACCTCGCGTCACCAATATGAGCGGATATCCTTATCCAGGTGAGTGTGTGTGGGTTTCTCCCTAGGTTGGAAGAGAATAAATGGTAGAAAAAAAAACAAATGTGGCACGACGTGGTGGAATCAGGCGCTCGTCAATTTCTAGGCGTGTATCGAGTTATTAGTATCACCTTAAAACTTTTGTCATGCTCATTTGTTTTGCTTTTGATTTTTTAAAAATACCCATTCATCTTGAAGAGAAGTTGAGATATTTGCCATTGAAATAGGTGGGGTGGCCTGATTTTTTGGGGTAAAATTAGCGAGAAAATGGCCGCCAATGTTAGGTGACTTCCAAAGCTTGAAATTCCTTGGAAACTGTAAATTTACATTTCTTGTCTTTTAATCATTGTTTTCAGTAAAATGTACACATTCATATATTTCTAAATAGACAAAAAAGGTGTTGAGCTAAAAATATAAAAAAAGAAAAAGAAAATTAGAAAAAACTTACCCCCAGACGCCCGAAAAATGCCCTTTACTTTGATTATATTATTTTGACGAGCGCCTGATTTCACTGT